CACGCATTCCGCTTGCGCGCAGAACTCAAAGGACCAAGGTGCATGGCGCACAGCGCCAATGCAGTCTTGTACATTTATATATATATATATGTATGTATATCAGAGGTGAGGGGGTGAGATCGAAGTGGAACGGAGAGCCCCCCGGGAAATCGGTTTCGGTTTCGTGTTCGTGCGTGCCGTGCGTGCGGGCGAGGCAAAGCTGCGTGGGCGGGCGAGAAATGTCCCGCCTCTGGCTGAGGCGCGGCCGGACCAAAGTCTCCCTTCCGGCAGCCAGTGCCGCGCGGTGTCCCGCCGGTGTCCCATCGGTGTCCCGATGATGATGATGATGATAATGATGATGATATTGATATTGATGATGATGATGATGATGATGATGATGATGATGATGATTCTGATGATGATGACGATGTTGATGATGATGGCCATGGTGGTGATGATGATGGTGTCCCGATGACGATGATGTAGATGATGCTGATGTTGCTGATGATGATGATGATGATGATGATGGTGTCCCGATGATGACGATGATGTTGATGCTGATGATTCTCATGATGCTGATGAGATGAAATGAGTATGATGATGATGATGATGATGATGATGACGGTGTCCCAATGATGATGATGATGATGGTGATGCTGATTATGATGCAGTTGATGATGAGAATGGTAATCATGATGATGATGATGGTGATGATGATGGTGTCCCGATGATGAGGACGATGTTGATGATGATGGTGACGATGATGGTGTCCCGATGATGATAGACATGTTGATGATGAGGATGATGATGTGGTGATGATGAGTTTTTTTCATGGTGGTGGCCCGATGCTGATGATGATGAGTATGGTGTGATGATGATGGTGTCCCGATGATGATGATGATGATGATCATGATGATGATGATGATGATGATGGTGATGATGATGGTGATGATGATGGTGTCCCGATGATGATGATGATGGTGATTTTGCAGGCGATGATGATGATGGTGCCCGATGATGATGATGTTGATGATGGTGTTCGTGATTATGATGATGATATAATGATGATGATGGTGGTGGTTCTCCGATAATGATGATTCTGTTGGCCCGATGATGATGTTGATGATGATGATGACGATGATGTTGGCCCGGTGATGTTGATGATGGTGATGATGATGACGGCCATGGTGATGAGGATGCTGATGTTTCGATGATGATGAGGTTGATGATGCTGATGTTGCTGATGATGATGGTGTCCCGATGATGATGATTTTGATGATGATGAGATGAATATGATGAGCCGATGATGCTGATGATGATGGGGGTGATGGTGATGATGGTGTCCCATGACGATGATGTTGTTGATGATGGTGCTGTTGATGATGGTGCTGTTGATGATGATGGGGGTGATGATGATGATGATGATGATGATGATGATTATGATGATGGTGTCCCGATGATGATGTTGATGATGACGATGATGGAGTCCGATGATGATGATGTTGATGATTTGGATGATGATGCGGTGATGATGATTCGGGTAATGGTGGCCCGATGGTGATGATGATGTTGATGTTGATGATGCTGGTGTCCCGATGATTCTGATGATGATGATGGTAACGATGATGACGGTGCCCCCATGGTGATGATGTTGATGAGTCTGATGATGGTGATGATGGCGGTGTCCCGATGATGATGCTGTTGGCGATGGTGTTCATGATGATGATGATGCTTAGATGATCATGATGGTGGTGTTCCGATGATTATGATGATGATGGTGTCCCGATGATGGTGCTGTTGATGATGATGATGGTGACGATGAGGTTGCCCCGATGATGATGGTGATGATGATGATGTTGATGGTGATGGTGATGAGATGATGATGATGGTGTCCCGATGATGATGATGGTGATGATGATGACGATGGTGTCGATGATGATGATGACGTTGATTGTGATATCGGTTGTGGTATCGATAGTGATATCGATAGTGAAACCGACTGTGCTATATTTTGTGAGATCGGTCGTAAGATCGATAGTGAGATCGATTGTGATATCGATCGTCATACCGATTGTGAGATCGATCGAATGATATATATATGTATATATATCTGGTGGTATCGATTGTGAGATCGATCGAGTGAGATCGATCGAGCGAGACCGATGGTGATATCGATAGTAAGACCGATAGTGAGACCGATCGGGTGAGACGTTGGTTCCCCCCCCGAACCTCCTTATCACCCGAAGGGTGGTCGTATAGGTATATACCGCAGTCCCTGATTACGCCCAGCGTTTGTATTTGCTGGCTGCTCAAGACGAAAAAAAGGGCAGCATCTCAGCCTCGACATCTTCGTACCGGGCCGAAGAAACTATATCCAATCGTCTCGCGCGAGATTGCGCGTCGCCGAAGCCAGTCGACGCGTCAGATGGTATTCTACCATGCCAAGTGAAGCCTGGATCTCCACGCTCAGCATATGTCGGCTCACCATCGTCATCCTCGATGTTGCCGTCCTGACAGGCTGCAGGCGCGACTGGCAGGACATTCGGTCCGATCAATCGCCGAACTTGCTGCGCATGTGGCCTCGGGCCAAGGGCAGCTGACGCAGGATGAAGCTGCCTGGCTGGGTGTCCACTGACACGACCTGGCTTATTCATCACAGCTTTCACGAACTCACTAACAACCCAGTCATCAATAAACGAGTAGTTGCCCGTGGCAGGGTCGCGATACGTCTCGCCACGCGAACATATAACATCAGCGTGACGTCGCAATGGCAGTTGGGCATTTTCCAGCAAGGTAGGACGCCTATTCCAGTCCCGAGCCATTGCAAACGGTTTTGAGTAGTGATTGAGACATTCCCCCATCGTAGCCAGACGTTGAGTGTTATTCCCTTCAAGCTTAGGCCGTTGTTCAAGGTGCACCGGGTCTACCAGCATGTCACCTCGCAGGCCAGCCTTCACAAGCACAGCCACACAACGCCCTGGTATGAATAACATGTCCTGTGCGATATCCAGTCAACGGAACGACCTCGATTTGCGACCTCACACAGATACCCACTCCAGGGGCTGTTTGGCCTGTGTCGGAGATAATGCCATCAGGGATGTAGGTCAGCCAGCCTCGGTTCTCACACCACTCCTCCGCCTGCAATCGCTTATTCCCAACCAACCAAGTGAATCTCCTGCCCTGCCACAATGCCAATGTGTCGGTTATGGCACAAGAAATCACACATCTGCGGCCATCCAGAGCTGTTGAAGGTAGCCGTGAGTAAGTTATCGTGTCGCTTGCCAGCGCGATGACGTCTCGGTTCATATGTAGGCTCAGCACCAGCCGTTGAGTAGTGAAGCTGTTGAGGTCAAACGCTGCTGCTGGCAGGTCCATTGCCCACACCAGCATCCTCATTAAGTGACATTGTTGTGTAGCGCGCGACCCCAGGCGCGTGTTGCGTACATGTTGAGGTAACGCCGAAATCGCTAAGTGGAGCACTTCTGAATTGGAAATGATTTGACCATCCACAGCGTGCCGTGGCATCGTCAACTATATGTAAGCCCAGTCACAGACGACGTGCACACCCTCAGGGTGATGGTCCACGTCCAGGCAGCCTGACAGGTAGTTCTCCTACCCGTAACCAACCACCATTAGCACCAGATGTTGCACCAGGGGTCGGAGGCATGTCGAGGTCGTCGCTCGGTATGGTTGCACCCCATGGTGTTGGTGTGGAAAGGCACGTACGGTCATGCTGGCGCAGGCGCTGGTCGGGTAGGGAGGGCTCGAGCTGCATCGCTTTTCCTTGCAGCCGTGCTCTGGAGCTCCTCGAACTGCTTCGCGAGGGAAGACATGGCCGTGTATTCATTTCGCGAGGTCACATACGGAGCCGCTTACACGATCTTCCCCAGTCGCTCTAGGGCGTCGTCCACACTCTTTCTCATCTGCAGACGTAGGCCCGCTACTGGTAGCCATGATCGCAGAGCGCGCAACCACCACCTGACCATTGAAGTGATCCAAGTCCCTCTCGGCTTGCTGCAACTCACTCTGCTTCTGATCCTACTCGGTCTTGAGGTTGCCAACTTGCTCCCTCAGCGCCACCACCTCTTAGTGCTTCTGCGCCTGTCGGCCCTGTCCTCTCCGCAATGAGTCATCAGGAGTGCGAGTGGCGCGTTCAGCTTCTTCTGCGTCTGCCAGGTCTTGGTTGGCCGCGGCAATGAATGGGCTCGCGTCATCAATGCCCAGTCGCCGTAGTGCCCCCAATACTTGGCGGGCTCTGGTAACATCATCAGAGGCTGTCGGTGGCTCATCTGCGGGCTCAGCAGCGTCTTCGGCATCTCGATTGCGTCCCTTTGTCGGCCTGCTCTGCTCTGTGTACGTCTCGAAGCGGATGAAGCTCGGCACTGACGAACATGGTTTGGCGGCCCCGCAGGACCAGGCTTCCCAGACTTGTCCCTCCCTCTCATGTAGTACCTCTCGTTGGATGCGTAGTTCCGCTTGTAGCCACATTCACGAGTTGCCGCGAAAGCCCAACGCAGATCAACAGCCAGATCGTCTTTCTTACGTCCTCGTCGTTTCATGTGAAGCTGAGGCCCGTGATGATCTGAGAGCAACTCACGGCTGGCGTCCACGCTTGATGCGTACCGCGCCTGGTCTGCGCTTCCGACGTTGGCGTCGATGCCAGGCTGGCGAAGGAGATCGGCAGGTAGTCGTAGCTGAGCGAGCTGCAGTCGCCTCCCTCCTGGCAGGCATTAGCACGAAATCGCAGGCACTCATCGCAGCAAGGCGGGCGGCCTGCTGGGGGAAGGTTCGGTAGAAGAGACCCCTTGACACTCGAACCAACATGGCTACGGAATGGGTCGTTGGACTTGAGGGTGCGGCGCTGGAGGAGGTGGAGAAGGAGGAACGAGGAGAAGGAGGGCGGGGGAGGATGGGGAGCAGGAGGTGGAGAAGCAGGAGGAGGAGGAGGAGGAGGAGGTGGAGGTGAAACTGGAGGTTGAGGAGTTGCTGGGGAGACAAAGGAGAGACCCTTCCCACGTCAGGTTTGGCAGCTGAGCATGGGCTTCCACCTGGCGTTCTACTACAAGCTGCTGCTTCTGCCCCTCTCCATCACGGGAGGGGCGGGGCTCTCTCTTTCCTTCTGCTCTTTTCCCCCTTGGGCACCTTCTCCCCCCCAAGCCCCCGCCCTTCTGCCCCTGGACCTCCCCAGACTCCCTCACGAAGGGCGCTTTTTGTTGGTCTGCCTGCGCTGCTTCTTGTCTCTTCTGCTTCTGTTACGAGGCCCGGGGGCTGCCCCCCCAGGGAACAAACTCGGGAGGAGAAACGGGTCCTGGGGACGGGGTCCTCTTGCTCCTCGTTCTCACCGCCGTTGTTCTCCATCTCGTCCTTCTCCTCCTCCTCCTCCTCCTCGTCCTGCTCCTCGGCCTCCTCGTCCATCTCTCGTCCGTATACATAGCTGCTCCCTGTCGCATTTCGAGGCCGATCAAAAGGGCGGGCCGGTCGTTTCGCATGAGACTTCCTCATCGCTTATGATCTTGAAACTTGAAGGAACTTGCAGCAGTTTCACGGATTGAGGGCGGATCGTTTTCACAATGTGGTTCTCGGCTTAGCGCCGCGCACGTTCGTTTCAACTATTGCAAGAGTTTCACGGATGGAGGGCGGGTCGTTTTCAACATGTTGTTCTCGCCTGAGCGCCGCGCACATTCGTTTTAAAAGCGAGCAAGAGTTTCATGGATGGAAGGCAGTTTTTTTTCAAATGTGGCTCTCGCCGTAGCGCCGCGCACGTTCTTGTTCAGGGCTATCAGCAGTTTCAAGGATCCTCATGGTGAACGTCCCAGAAGTAGTGCTTGGGCACCATGTCGGAATGTCAGGGTGCAACAGTTACAGTTACAGCGTTCTGGCACGAATCGAGATCGTCAAGACGCAAGCGCAATGCTGATTCGTGGCGTTGAAGTCTCAGGAACCGTGTTCTGGCACAGTTCCGGATTTTCAAACGGTTGTCTTCAACGGGGCCATTCCTTCAGTGAAGATTAACATTTGCAGGGGCTTCTGAAGAGGGAACTTGGAGGGAGGGTCACTTGCAATATCGTTGATGAGTCTTGGGTTTGCACTGATCCTCGTCCTCCTCGTCCTCCTCGGCGGCGACGTGTCCAGGTGTCCACGCCGTGAGCAAAACAGTACATCGACGTCGGCGGTCTGGGCCCACCTGTACCCGCTCCATCCCCCCGTCTCCCGCTCCCTGCCTTCGGGTAGCCTATGTGATGTGATGTGATTCGCCGGCTGGTACCGCGATCCCGGTCCGATCCGTTTCTGTTCGAGTCAATCAAAGGCGACGAGAAGGGCGAATAGCCCAAGGGCGGACACGGCACTTCTCCCTCCGGGAGCCTCGCCGCAGACATGGGCCATCGGCGTCCTTGGGTACATGTAACTCCCCCCTCGGGCTGCTTGCCCTCTGATTCATTGGCATCGCCCGGGGCCAGCCAGAGCCACACGCGGAGATGTGATCTCGATTTGATGCGGGACGATTCGCTAGCGATCCGATCCGGTTTTGCCCCGATCCGATTTCGCGATCCGATCTAGTTCAGGCCTGCCTCTCCCTCCATGTTGAGACACTCACCGTCGTTGTTATTACTGCACGCTGTGCCTTGGCCGACACAGGCGCGCACTCTGCGTCCCTGCCACGTCGAGAGCGGGTGCGGAGCGAGGTTCCGACGTCCCCGAAGATGATCACCCAAGCGGTGCTTGTGGGCAAATCCTTGCCTCGCAGGGGATTACCTGTCCAGAACGGCGGAGTTGCACAAGCCTTCTTTGCACGCTCATCTATCCACAGCAGCAGCTGCTGCTGCCGCCGCTGTGCGTGGGAACTGCAGGCACCCTTCAGCACACAGGCTCGCGTCAGACATTGCTCGATGGAGAGGCTGACAGCCAGCGTGCGTCACGTTGGCAGCTCACGCGCGGTAGGGACAACGACTGCTGGCCGCGTGGGCTCCATCGGCAGAGTTGTTCTCGTCTCGCCACGAGGCAAACAGATCCTGATGGAAACGGGCCCCGAGGGTTCTTGCATTGTTTTTGGTGCCACTGGGCCCTCCCCGGGCCCTGGGATTGTCTGTAAACGGCTCAGTGCGAAAGACCGGGTCATTTGGGGAAGGCCCCGGGGTCCAGGACCCGTTTTCCACAGGACCCACTTGCTTCGTGCCATTCGTCGCTCGCGCCGTCTCAACTTGGCGCCTCGGCTGCGACGGGAAGGTCGCGCGGGGGCTGGGCGGGACGTGCAGGCGGGGACCCAGAGCAGGGTCCGCCGGCCGTCTGTGCCGTCGCCGTCGCCAACGTCCAACTCTCATGATGAGTCCTGCGCGACGCCATAATTTTGGGCCGCCCCTCAAGCCCTGCACAGTCGAAGCGTTGATAACAGGCCCGCTTTGGTTTCGGAAGGGGACCAGGGGTCTTTGGGGCTTCAGACTTCTCCTCGGGATCTCCTCACAAGTCTAGGCTCAACTGGTCGAACTTGGCCTTCGTTTGCTCTCTGAGGTCACCCCTAGACTGGGATAGGTTGATCTGTCCCCAGACATCTGGCATCAGCCATGTTTTTTTCCGTGACGTGGACCTCCCGACCCCCCGACGAGATTCGGGGGGACACGTTTCTTATCCTGGGCCGTTTTCTATTTGTCTCAGAGCTTAGGAAAACGCCTCCGGATGCCCAAAACTTGAGAAATCGGTTGTCGGGACTCCTCCGCGGCACCTGGCGGTTTCAGATCGGCGTCCACTTCTCCCCCCCATATTCCTCCTGTGATGTTTCACGACTGGAATGATTCCAGTTGTGGCGACGAAGATCTTTCCGCAGACCGAAAAAGACAACCGAGACGGCGGAAGGCTTCGATCCTCCACAACCCAGGCCGAGACCCACTGTAGCTTGGCGGCGCGCAAGGGTGGGCCTTCACTGGAAGGACCTGTGCTTCGTGGTTTTCAAGGACGGCGCGGCGGGGCGGATCCCAAGCACGCGGGCCGCTGCTTTTGCACCGCATGCAACGGTCTGCAAAACCGCGCACCACAGTTCACTCCCGCCCAGGGTCGCTCCTATGCGTGAAGCCGAGTAACGTCTTTCTCGGCCGGCACCTGCCGCTAGCGCCCCCCCACGGCGCGTACAAGAATCTGGAAATTGGCCGCTTGCATCCGGCCGCTTGCATCCCCCCGACTTTGCAGCGCACAGCGGGGGCACTGGCGGGGAGGGCTCGAGGGAGGAAGGGAGGAGGCGTAGGAGGAGGAGGAGGAGGAGAAGGAGGAGGAGGAGGAGGAGGAGGAGGAGGAGGAGGAGGAGGGGGAGGAGGAGGAGCAGGAGGAGGAGGAGGCGGAGCGGAGGCGGAGGCGGAGGCGGAGGAGGAGGAGGAGGAGGAGGAGGAGGATGAGGAGGAGAACATGAGGAGGAGGAGGAGGAGGAGGAGGAAGAGGAGGAAGATGAGGAGTTGGCGGACAAGTAAGAGGAGGAGAAGGATGAAGAGAAGTAGGAGGAGGAGGAGGAGGAGGAGGAGGAGGAGGAGGAGGAGGAGGAGGATGATGATGATGATGATGATGATGATGATGATGATGATGATGATGATGATGACGAGGACGAGGACGATGATGAAGAGGAAGAGGACGGAGAGGAGGAGGAGGACGAAGAGGAGGAGGAGGAGGACGCGGCGGAGGCGGAGGCGCAGGAGGAGGAGGCGGAGGAGAAGGAGGAGGAGGATCAGGAGGCGGCGGAGGCGGAGGACAAGAAATGGAGGAGGAGGAGGAGGGGGAGGAGGAGGAGGAGGAGGAGGAGGAGGAGGAGGAGGACGAAGAGGAGGAGGAGGAGGAGGAGGAGGAGGAGGAGGAGGAGGAGGATGGGGAGGAGGAGGATGATGATGATGAGGAGGAGGAGGAGGGAGAGATGGAGGACGAGGAGGAAGAGGAGGAGGAGGTGGAGAAGGAGGAGGAGGAAGAGGAGGAAGGGGAGGATGATGTTGATGATGATGATGATGATGATGATGATGATGATGCTGATGCTGCTGATGATGCTGAAGCTGATCGTGATGGTGATGACGACGAGGATGATACTGATGATGCTTCTGATGATGATGCTGCTGATGATGATGCTGATGATGGTGCTGATGATGATGATGATGATGATGATGATGATGTTGCTGCTGATGATGATGCTGCTGCTGATACTGATGCTGCTGATGATGATGCTGATGGTGATGACGATGACGACGACGACGATGCTGATGATGACGATGATGCTGCTGGTGATGATAATGCTAATGATGAGGATGCCGATGAATCTGATGATGCTGATGATGATGATGATGCTGAAGCTGATGCTGATACTACTGCGCATGATGGTGATGATGATGATGGTGATGTTGAGGATGATCCTGATGATGCTGCTGATGATGATGATGCTGAGCATGCTGATGATGATGATGGTGGTGATGCTGCTGATGATGATGATGCTGATGATGATGACGCTGATGCTGCGTAACATGATGATGCTGATGCTGACGATGATGATGTTGATGATGATGATGCTGATACTGATACTGATGATTATGAGGCTGATGATGATGATGCTTACGATGATGATGCTGATGATGCTGATGATGCTGATGCTGATCATGCTGCTGACGATGATATGAACGATAATCATGAAGACGATGATGATGCTGATGCTGATGTTGCTGATGCTCATGATGACTATCATTGACGATTTATGGATGATGATGATGTTGATGCTGATGCTGACGCTGATGATGATGGAGCTGCTGATGCCGATGGTGCTGATGAGGATGATGATGATGCTGATGTTGATCATGGTGATGATGTTGACGATGATGCTGGTGCTGCTAATTATGCTGCGATGATGGTGATGATGCTGAGGATGCTGATGAATATGATGATGATGCTGATGCTGATGAGGATGATGATGATGATGATGATGATGAGGATGACGATGAGGACGATGATGATGTTGATGATGCTGATGATGATGATGATGCTGATGAGGATGATGATGCTGAGGATGAGGATGAGGATGAGGATGAGGATGATGCTGCTGCTGCTGAGGAGGAGGAGGAGGAGGAGGAGGAGGATGAACA